GCAGGAATGGATTAAAAATCAGCTTTCTGAGGACTGTTCCGATTGAAATCAATGGTAAAAGATTCGGGCCTTAAATACAGTTGGGAAAATTCAGATCCATAACTTGCTGTTGATGCAACTCCATTGGTAGGAGCAATGGTGGAACCTGTAGTTAGGTTTTAAAATACAGGGGTGGTGGGAGAGCAGAGTTTTCTTGCCTCTTCTCCCCAGTTTGAGGAATCAATGTTTCCCCACAACTCTGCTTCCTCCTTGGATGGAGAGGTGGGATCTCCCCCATCCTGTTTTGATCTACTTTAGCAATGGCCCATAGGAGACCATATGGTGATAAAAGTGCCTGCATTGTGGCTATACTACAGCTACTGCTTTTGTTAATAGTAGTGGAGACTTGTAGATCCAAACTATGCCAATGTAGACTTCATACCACTGACTTCACAGGGAATAGATCAAGGCATAACTATGGACAGGAACATACCTTTTATCTTCTATAACTTGCTTCATTGTGCGAGTGAATATGTCAGTGGTAAGCTGGTCTATTCGCAGAGCAATGCCCATTTTTTTGGCCTCTACTCGAACCATGTTGTCGTACTGGTCTCCAAAAAGGGGTATTCCCACAACAGGGACCCCATGATAGATAGATTCCATCAAACTGTTCATGCCTCCGTGGGTAACAAGTAGACGAGCCATAGGATGTCCTGGCCCAAACCAATAAAACATGGTATGTCAGTGGTTGACATTTTGCAGCACTTGTATAGGTTTTAAAAGTAATAATTCTTGTGATTTCTATTAATAAATGTATAGAATGTGTAGCTTTGTAACCACATTATGTATTACTTGTAGCATAATAGTACCTAGAGTTCTCAGTCAAAATCAGGGCCCTGTTGTGCTAGGAACTATACAAATATAGCATGAGACAATGCTCTATCTTGAAGAATTTATAATCAAACAGATGAGACAGTCAGTGAGTGGCAGAAGACAGATAGAGGGATTCAGTATATAGTTGGTAGTTTGGTAAATCTGTCTCTTAAAACTTGTGAACTCTAGTTAGATTTATATAATTGTGCCTCAGTGTATATTGAATCAGCCATTTGCTAACAGGGTCTGTCACATACAGATGGAGGGCTGTTGCATGAACATCCATTCCACGCTCACTAACATTTGAATAGGTCTACCTTGGCCATATAGTGAGTTGTCTAGAGAGAGTAGCTGAGGCTTTGTTTACACATATTAAAGTTTAAAATGCTGCTGCAGCAGTGTTGTTATGGTTTTAGGTAAACCACCTCCATAATGGAAGTTGCTAACAGCACTAGGAGCATGACTCCCAGCACTGTAGCACTATGTACACTGTAATTTTACATCACTGTAACTTGATGTGCTTGAAGGGAGGGGGTTGTTTCATATCCCCCGAGCAAGAAACTTACAGCACAATAACTTGCCAGTGAGGATAAGCCCTGAGGCAATAAAGTAGCTTTTTGAGTTTGGACTTGATTTGGGAGGTAGCCAAAAATGGATCACCTGATAGAGCAACTTGATTAATGAGGGGGCTCGGAAGCTGACCAGGAAGTCACCTGGCAAATCATGGGAGGGACAAAAAAAGGGGCATGTGATATCCCCATGTGATTCCTCCACATGACTCCTCCCTACCCCACCCTCATACCTGGGGCCCCACATTTTCCCTTTCCCCTCCCCATTGCACTTCATCTGGGTGGGGGTTCTGTTCTCCCACTGCACCAAATACAGATTTCTGAACTGCAGGGCTCTCTGGAACCTCAGCAGCAAAAGGGTGGCCCCATGCCAGCAGCTCCTCTGTGCAGCTGTGATTACCCCTTGCCCTGTCCACTGGTGAGGCTATACAGACTCCAGACAGGAGAAGTAGCTGCATGGAAGGGCTGGCTGGGGGTGGCATAGACACACAAGAGGAGCTTCTAGCATGGGCCTGTCCGGAGGCCCCACATTCTGTTCCCTCATTGCTGTGGTTCCCTGCTGAATGTGAGCCCTCAAGGCATCTGGGGAGGGGCATGTGATCCTTCTCACCAGGCAGTGCCCACTGACCAGATCAAGACAACAAGGTTGGACAGGAGGAAGGAAACAGGAAAGAAGGGTCTTGGAACCATGAAAGCACTGACCAAAATGCAAAAGGGCCTCAGACAGGTGGGGACATTGAAGGCGTATTTTTGTGTGTGCAGGTTTTGTTGTGTTTCTGCAGAATCTGTTAGTCTGTGTGCTTTGGTATGAGTGAAATGTGTGAATGTGTGTTTTCAGAGCATATTCTACAAAGCCTCTGAGTTCCCTCTTTTACTTGTCACGTGTCCCCAAATGGACTAAGCTGTAACTGGAGTGTCTATGTGCGTGGAGCTCTGGGCTAGCAGGTTTAAGCTACTGAAGATAATTGAGGGCTTCAGCACCAGTCTTGAGGATTTGCTTAATTTAATGAAGAAGACCTAACAGAACAGCCACTCTATGTACCACTGAGGCTTTGTCTAGACTACAATGATCTATTGGAAAAAGGTACACAAAATGCTCTCCGCAATTTGCGTACCTTTTTCTGATGGTTTTTTTGGAAGAGGCTTTTCCGAAATTTGGCCCATCTATACCTGGCCAAATGTCAGAAAATCCTCTTTCAGAAGAGTCCTTCTTCCTCGTAAAAGGGGAATAAAAGGAGGAGCAGATGCGTTCCCTGGACGTGGCGGAGTTTTTCCAAGATATATCCAGTATCCCAGAAAAACACCGTAGTCTAGATGCAGCCTGAGTGCTTTATCCTGTTCCACGCAGTTGCAGGTAAAGATACTGAAGTTAATGTAAGATACTCTCACATGAGCTAACATGTTACAAGCGTGACGAGACCTGTGACAGAAATATACAGATGGAACATGTAAATGCAACTAGTGAAAGTTTCTGGGTGAGGAGAGGTAGGGGTATTGCAGACAGGAAAATCCTGAGCAGATCGTAAGTAAGGCAGGGAATGGCTTCTAGTCTTTATTACATCATCCACACTGTCAGCACTGAGCAACAGACATCTTTTCCGTCTGCTACCCCTATGGGGGGCGAGTTCCTAATAATAGTTCCAGATGGAGAACAGACAGTTTACATTGTATATGCACCACCAAACCTGCACTCGGGTATATTATGACAAGATACATGGATCTACTGATCCTAGGCTGAATTAGAGCCCTTGGATATGCAAAGGATATAGCAAAATAAACAGACTTATTTCTTATTTATGCAGACATTAGTCTGTTCACACAAGCTGGAATATTAGTTTTAAAACCATAAAATTAGCTGCTCATTCCCTATTTAGCACTTCTGAGCCTAACAAGTTATGAGTCATGTCCTGTTCTTATGGAAGAGAATAGGACTTAAGCCTTCATAAGACAGGCTGAGGCTGTCTATACCAATGGATATAGCACTGGAAACCTTTACAGGATTCTGATTTGCCTGAATACGCAAGCACATTTCAATAAAGCCTAATGTCAGGATTTCTCCCATTGCTTTCCTTACCTAACAGATCATTCTGAGGGAGCCAATCAGCAATTTTCACATTTGATGCCAGTTTCAGCTCTTTAGGCCATTTGGAGTACTGACACCTCCAGATCACTCTTTGGGAAAGGTGGGCAAATGCAGCATTCATCTCCTGTAGTACTTCCAAGTGCGGGATTGAGGATAACATTGAGCCCAGTGTCACAATGATAAAACCATCTTCTGAGTTTGCTATAAAGTCTTCAAGCTCCTGCACCAACAAAACACAACCTTTAACTCCTAAAATAACTTCACTTGCATCAAATACTGTTGTTGCAATCTTTAAATGGCTTTCACTAATTTGTATGTTCTTATTACAGTTTTTCATTTTATAATGTTTTCAATCCAAGAATCTCAAAGCACTTATCAAACATTTTAAATTCTCCTCCTAAGTAAGGTAATCATCTATCTGTAAAATGGGTATAACAACAATACAACACAAACATAATAATGTCCATGTTTTCCACTGTAGCTTCTAATCTGGGTGTTTTAAATTCTATTTGAGTGAGATATATCTAGGTGCTTCTTTTATCAGGTGCTGCTGTGTATCCACCATGACCATTAACTTCATCTTCCAAGTTTACTCACCTGAGAAAGTGGTTTGGAAGGCTTGGCCAGTAAACCTCCAATATACACAGTATTTGGAAGAAGCGGGCGTGCAAATTCTAAAGAAAAGTCAGTGTTATAAATCCATAATTCTGCTTTTAAGTAGAGCTCAGATAAAAAAGTTCTGGACTCAGCAGTGAAATGCTCCTTGATGACACTTTCAAATTTGGCTTGGGCTTGATTTTCTACTATGATTGAAACAAGAGACATTAGACAGTTCTTCACACGGCACCAGAAGTCCATGTGATCGGTTAGGTGGGAATGAAATACTGGAACATAAGACAAGGGGCTAGGAATCCCAGCCTGTGGTCCATTAGCAAAAGTTCCAGGAAACACCGCAACAAAAGGCAGGTCTAGTTTCTCTGCAACCAAGAAGGAACAGGGATTAAAACCATCTATCACTGTTATGTCAAATTTTTCATCCTTCAGGGAGTTCAGGGTCTCTGATTCATTTAGTATGAATTGACACTGGTAGGCCAAATGGTTCATGAAATTCATATAATGGCTGAGGTCCTCTCTGTGGAGAAAAATAAGACCACTAATTAAATAATATAGTTTAAGCCTAACTTATTTTCCACACAGGGCTATAGTCTCAGCACGGTGCTAAGAGTGTTGTTATCATTGATTAATCTCTGCCATGAAAATTTAAATATAATAATATCTAGCTCTTCTATATCCCTTTGTAATCGATAGATCTCTATTACAAAGGAAATCAGTATCATGGCCCCCATTTTACACATAGTGGGACATAGGCACTGGGAGAGGAAGTGCCTTGCTAAGGATCACCCAACAGGCCAACAGCAAAGACCCCAGATCTTCTGTCCAATGTTCTATCCACTAAACACAACGCACCATTATTGGGTTTAGTGTGTGGGGCTGGGTAGTGTTTGGTGACCTGTGATAGACAGATCAAATGACATGATCTATTGGCCCCTTCTGACCTTAAACTTTATGACACCAGAGGAAAGAAATGTAAATGGTAACAAAAAGGATCAAACACACTCAGGCACCTCTCTGACACTTGATATGAGGCTAATAAACATGCAGAGCAATTTCCCGTTTGTGAATGAGAACTGTGCTTAATCTTCTGCTTTGTCAACTTATTTAAAATGCAGTAAATATAGCGATTCAGCAATGACAATTATTTCTGAATTATTTAATTAAAAAATGTTAAATTAGCCATGAATTTTATTAGCTCTCAGTGATTTGACCAGCTCCGGGTGATGACTTTTCACCTTTCAGGGAGGTCCTGCCCTCCATAAATGAGTAGGTGTGTTTTGACTGATTTGGGGTAATCACAAAGGAGCTGATCTATATGATAGATCTGAATTTTCCCAGGTTAATCAGTGTAATTTTTTCTTGCAGCTGATATATCCAGGCATAGATATTGTATTGAACTGGATGGGTCTGAGAGACAGAGAGAAATGGAGTCCAGTCACTCAAAAACTATGTTTGTAAAATCCCTCTTCAGTATCCCAACTCTAATAAACAAGAAACTGATTTTTTTAAAGCTAAGATTAGCAAAGCTTTTCCCAAACAGTTTAAACTCCTTAAGAAACTATGCATAATAATGATGAAGTAATACCTGCCCATCAGAAAATCCTCCATGTTGTCAGCAAACCACTTCTCATATACATTGAGATAGTCCTGGTTGGCAGACCAAGCTGTAATTTGGTAGGTATCTGGTCTCTTATATTTGATCCCTATAATATGTATGATTAATAAATAAGAAATTTTCCATAAGCATACCTGCATTTAATACAAGCTTATTTTTTGGAATAGTGTTTTTGGAATATAAGATTAACAAGTTCTAAAAAATGTAATCCTACTGAGAAATTAATGCTTAATGTTGCCTGACCAACCTAATTGCTTTCTCTAATGAGATAATTGGCTCTGTGGATGTGGGGAAAGTGGTGGGCATGATATCTTATAGAAAGCTGGCTAGATCATCTGGCTCAATGGGTAGTGATCATCAGCTCGCTGTATTGTTCCAGGGGTCAGTCCTGCAGCCGGTTTGCTTAACATCTTCATTAATGATCTGGATGATGGGATAGATTGTATCTTCAAAAAGTTCATTGATGATACTAAGCTGGGGGAGAAGTGTTATACTTATAAGAAGCACACAGGATCTGTTCCAGGGGAAAGGCAATACACCATGTTTATTGCAAATACAGCATGTGCACTCCCACACACAAGCAAACACGAACCCACACACACACACTTTGCAGCTGGTGTTATAGTTACTAGTCTTACTGGTGTTTGTGCCAGCCTAATGGCCAATTGGGCTTGACATGAGGAAAGAGCTGGATTCTGTTGGCTGCGTTCTGATGCTCTGCAGTTGTCTATTCAGGAGTAACCCAAAGCTTCATGGCTACATATCCCAGTTTTATGGTTGCAAGTCCCAATTTTAGTTTTTGCTGTGTCAGGGTTGAGGTCATCTAACTGTTTTACCTCAAGGCTATCTCCATTGTCATGCTCCATTCAGGTGTGTGCCTTTTGCTTTAGAGTCCTCAGTTCTGCCCTTTTTCTGCCACCCTGAATTTCAGTTGATGCCTGAGTTCACACCTCCTTCAAGGGCACCATTTTGGGAGCATGGGGGAGGGGGGGCGCAGCTGTGTGCTCCAGGAAGTGGCTATCTTTTCATCCCATTCCCCAGATGTTAAGGGAGCGAGGGGAAAGTGCTCTCATTCTGTACATGCCTCTCACACCTGGCTGGTGAACTCCCTTCTGCAGCCAGGTGTGAGAGGAATGCACAGAATGCAAGTAATTTCCCCTCACTCCCTTAGTGTCTTGGGAATGGAATGAAAAGCTAACCATGTCCAGGAGCGCATGGCTCCTGCCCTCTCTATCCTCTTGAAATGGAGCCCTTGCACTCCTTGTTACTCATTCTGGTGCTGGAGTCTTTTGTCTCGTCTTCCCACATTCACATATTCCTCACTCACACAAAGAACAGTTTACTTCAGAGAAAGCAATTTCTCTTACAAAGGAACAGGAAGGATTTCTTACAGGCTTACAAAATTAAAAAGATAATTTTAAACAATTTCTTACTAATTTATTATACCTATAAACAATTTCTTACTAACTCATAATACCTAATACAGAATATGTTTGAATACCTAGTAGCTGCTATAAAAGCTTATAGCAGTTGCTAGGAATTCAACAAAGCTTATGAAATAAAATCTACATAAACATACAAAACAAAGCTAAATCTATATAACTATAGCAGCAGACTTACTTGGCAATGCCTGGGTTCTTTAGGGCAGAGGCTTGGGGATATAGGGAGGGTGCAGAAGGCTGGGGGCCAGGAGAACATTTTGTCCCCCCAGTCCCTCTGCCCAGCTGGGGCCAGTTCTCCTCCCTCGCAAGGCCACCCACCAGGCCATCCAGGTCCTGTTCTCTCACCATAACCTTAGCCCACTTGGGGCCTGTTCTCTCTCCCCCTCCAAGTTACCCCCTGAGCCTGCCCATGGCCTGTTATGTACCCCAACTCCAGGCCACACACACCCAGCCTGGCCAGGGCCTATTCTCTCCCCCCAGCGGCTACATCCCCAGCCCGTAAGGGGCCTATTCTCTCCCTGCTAGTTATCCCCCCAGCTTGCCCAGGGTCTGTTTCCTCCCACCCCAGGCCACACACCCCTCCACCTGTCTGGGGCCTATTCTCTCCTCCTACCCCACCCAGTGCCTGTTCTCTCACCCACCCCAGGCCACCCTCTGGCTCAGCT